CACACTTCGGTGTCAACACACTTCTTTTCCTGGGTTTCTGTATAACGTCGCTCCTTGAGCTCCTATCTGCCCCCAGCTTCTCTCTGCCCATCATGGCGTCTCACAGCGATTCCGCATACCTTAAGGCCTTCGCCCTGGCCTCCACCTTCTACTTGGGCTCAGCAATGGCGACAACGACCTTCCTCGTCTTCCCACCCATGCTACGACCATTACTGTACAAGTCGCCATCACAACCGCAACCTCCAACGCCGTCAATTACGCGTCCATCACCATCTCTTAATGTTCCTCAGACGCCAATCGAATCCGGTCGTCTTACACCCACAGTCTCAACTCGCGGCTTCGACTTCGCCTTGGCACTTGGAAGCTCCGGCGCATACAAAGCTGTAGCGCAACAATTCTCTGCTATGGAGACAGCCATGTTCCGCGTACAGGTGCCCCTTGAACTTGCGACAATTGCTGCTTTCGGAGTGGTAGCACACAGAGCGAGAGTTGCTGGAAACGGAATTTGGACGCGCTGGGCTACCGCTGCGGCATTGGTCGCTGCAATCTTTCCGTTTACAGGCACTTTGATGGCGCCTTTGGGACACAAAGTTGCAAGAGTTGCTGGCGACGAAGAGAAGGTTGAGCCGTATGAAGATGCGCCGATTGATAGGGAGGCGGAGAAGAGCAATACTGTGCAGTTCATCAAGAAGTTCGCCGCTCTGAGCATTGCAAGGACTGCAATCGTCGTGGGTGCGGGGCTTGTTGGAGTCAGCGCCTGGTTGGCGTAAGAGATGTTGCTGGAGCAATGAAAGAGCCTCTAGGCTGCCATCATGAAGAGTGAATGGACCACAGCACCCCCCCCCCCCCAACCCACAGCGGACTGTGTACGATCAGCAATTCAGCGAGCCAGAAGCTTGAGAGTGTAGCACATGCTATCGCGACGTCGTAAAGTCAGTGGTAATGGATCGGAATCCGTGGTGCGCAGCTGTGACAGACTCGCCCACTCAACTTTCACATGAAAAAAGCATGCCAAGACTGGCTCTGGTCCGCTTGTGAACCAACGCGAACATTTGAGACTGGCGGTCCGTGCTCGCACCTCCACGCGGCGTTGGCATTTCTGAGCACTCAGTTTCCATCGAAATAATTCATCACCGTCCGCAAGATGGTTCAATAGACCCACGTCACACAACACCCCTCCAACAATCATCTTTGCCTCTGTGCATACATTGTATTTGTTGCGGCCAGACCGCAGCAACTTTTCACAAGGTACATCATTGCCGACATGTGCGCGCCGTTCGTGAGCTGATAATACCCGCAGCGCTCCACGAATTATAGAATTGCTCTGTACTCTCGGACTAAGTTAGTCACAGAGGGGGCGACAAAGCCACGGATAGGATTGGCTCGCTTTGCATCCAGGATCTGTGCGCGGAGTCGACTCCGTTCGACGGAAATAGCCCATGACTTAATACTTAGGCTCAAGGATGTGCCGTCCACTAGCGGGAATTTGCAACTTCACGTCGTTTACCAGCCAACGTGCAAACTGTGTTTCTGCTGTTGCATGCACGCAGTCGCACCCAGGATCCGATAGAAGATCCTCATATCCTAGCGACTGGCGTATTGCTCAATCGCGGGTATAATAATGCGTATGTTTACACCCAAACACGAACACATGCCCTTGGTTCTGACGTCGGTTATAGTCATCTACCAACCCAAATCTGTCAGGCCTTTCAGCTGGTGAAGCTGGAACACAGCGCATCAATCACCGCACTCGTCTCTTGTGCATACGATGTTGCTGAAAGCCATGAGTAAGCGGACGCTGGCAGGCTCGTCTCGGGGCCGAATTCGTCCACGAAGCCTCAAGGGTCACGAGTAGTTGCAATACCTTTGGTCCAGAAGACGCACATCCGAGAGGATGTGTTCTGACGGCCAGACAGTAGGACGATGAATAGAAGCACTTCCGCATCCAGACCATTTTCTGTATCGAGAACCCTCCTCTTGTCTGTAAACGCTTGCGAAGCCACTGGACAGCATTTCCGGCCCACGCACCCGAAGGCAGTTGACTACCACTGGCGCCTCAGATCCTCTTGTTCCTTCCTGCGTGTCTTTCGATGGTAAAGTGGGATCATATCTGAAACGCTGCAGGTGAGCTTTTTGCTGTCATTGCCGACACTCGACCAATCAGGGCTGTCAAATGGCTAGTACAATCAATCAGAAGGCTCTGCCGTACGTGATTGCCTGGTGTTGCCTTCCGCTCCCGTTCCGAAGCTTGGACCACCACTGCGCAAATTTCAATCGCGCGTCGCCGAAAAAATTTCCGCTCTTCGACCGTCCTCAAGACTTGGTCGTGCACACCACACTCCGCCCCCCTTCCCCTTATACCATCTTCAGCAATCGCGCGACCGCTTCCTGCATCAAGTCATACCATCCGCCGCAGCATTGACGCCGCCGCCGCCGTCGCATAACCCCACCTTCGTCACGCCGCGTGCAGTGCCACTCTGAGCCAGCGCGAGTCCAAGACATCAAGGTTGGTGCCTGCCTATCGGCACCATCAGAATCTGACTTGACTTCAATCGCTGACCACATTCATTTGTTAGAGACGCCGACTGTGCTTCTACACGCTCAACCATGGCGACCACGGACGATCCCAACGTCCACAGCCATCGCGCCAGCTTGCGCAACACCTCTCGTCCTTCAAGCCGTCGTGGTAGTCGCTCTCCCCGCCTCACCATCGGCTCACCCACTCGTGCTGAGCGCCGCGCCTCTGCTCGCTCTCCCGGCAACGTTGCTATGGAGCACAGTGTCGAGAACCTGCCACACAACTGGCTTGGTCCCGATGACGCAGCGTCTCTCTCTGGTGACGATGACGAGGCAGAGGACGATGTCAATCGTCGCGCCGAGTGGACCAATGACGAAGATCCACAGGACTTCACGCGACTCTTGTCATCTTCTGCCCAGCCAGCCTCGCGCTCGCCATCTCCAACTCTCACAAATGAGTCATCACATTCAGTCACATCGGTCGCTAGAAATTCAACCGCAGATGGTTCAGATGCATCTTCTGGCGCTGGAACTCAAGACAACGAGCAGACCATTGATGACTTCGCCGATGTCGCTCGCTTCTACGACCAGTCTACCTCGGGGCCTGACGACGTCTTGTTGGATGAAATTGTCCACAACACAACTATGAAGGATGAGAAGCCAAATCATGTCTTCATGATTCCCAGCGACTCCCACAAGTCTTCCGATGTCGCGATTGCAACTGCAGTGGCAGCGCAACTCATCAAAGACGATGACACCTATCCACAGCCACAATGTCTCTATGCCATCAAGTGCAAGGCTGTTCAGTACATCCTTGACTCGCTCGTCACTGTCTCTATCGATCTCAAGGACCCAGAATTCAAGCTCAGCATCTTGGTTGCACAGCTCCAGGCAGCCGAAATTCTCTCTGCTGAGGAAGCTGCGACTCTTTTCCAGTCCGATGTTCTTTCGGATCTCGAGGTTGCAGCTCTCGTCTCTCTCATCGATCCGGAATCTGAGTGCGATGTCGTCATGACAGAGTATGAGGAGGATGGCACGCCAACTTCTGCTCGACTCATTCGCCAACATCTCAGCACAAAGCCCGCAAAGCTTGTGGTTCTACGTCGCTGCTCCAATGATCTTCTCCAGCCTGTCTTCTACAGTCATGACGCTTCAGAGCGTGAGACGCCCGCTGCTATCAAGGGTTTCAACGCCAAGCCTCACCAGTTTGATCTGCAGACCGATCCGTTGCTCACTCTCAGCTCCACCATGCCAGCAGAACATGATTGCGGCTACGCTTCTGGGTGTAACAAGGATACAGTCTCGAGCAATTTCCTGCTCCGTACCGGTCAATTGCCTCCCACCGCAAAAGAGTCCAAAGTCTACGATCGTCAGCAAGCCAAGGAAGCACACATCAGCTCTGAGGCCCAGGTGGTGTCTTTTGATGGAGTTGACATTGTCTTGGAGCCGCTGCAGGTCACTGCTCCAGATTGGGTCGTCTTTCGTGACAATCTTAACGAGCACGAGCGGGCCAAGTTTGTGCGTCTCTCAGATCAAAAGGAAGACAAGCACGCAGCAGCAGAGAACACCTTCCATTCTCCGGCATATGCGATGACTGACCATGGCATGCTGCCACATATGTCTGATCCAACGTCACCAGTCGAAGCTGCCAACGTCGCTGGCCTCAGCTTCCGGCTCTCCAAGATCGGCTACGCGCCATGTCTCAAGTTTCTCTACACTTTCCGTCGCCAGGGCAAGAAGGGCGGCACAATCAATCACGATGGCGTACTGATGTTTCCATTCGGGCGCTTGCATCATCGTAAGACCGGTGAACCAACATCCGCCATTTCAAATATGTCATCGAAGTGGGTGCCTGACGAGAAGCATCCGTACCTCGAGCTTCGTTTCACGTCTAGCTATGCTCTGACACAGAACATGGAGCCGCACTTGAGCTTCAAGCGAATTGGAGGTCTGAAGAAGGATTTCAGCGCCTCGATGACCCAAGAAGAGATGATGTTCTTGGACTTCGTGCGCAATTGCCGTGATCCAAAGGGTGGTTCTCACGACCTTGTCTTCCGACTCTACCCGTACGCTCAGGAGATCCAGAAGCAATCACAGCTGGGGCGCAAGTGGTATCAACTACAAGATCTTCAGACTTACTTCCCTGGAGGCAGTTCTGAGAATCCCGTGTTCTCCAAGAATATGTGGTCTTCTTATCTGCGAGGCAAGAACAACTCTGATCCTCAAATTCAGTTTGGCACGATGCTGAGTCGACATGCCATCGCTTCTAAGAAGCCGCAGATGCCCTTCGTTCGACATGTTCCTCCTGTTGTCTTCAAGGACAGTACGGAGTATGCCGTCATGCAGGGATATGGTCAGACTATCAACTATGCTGAGGAAGTGAACCGTACCGCCGCTGTCTCAGTTGATGATCATCTCATCGGCTTCCACGTCATCGATGGCCAGTCATCAACCGTTATTGCATCTGTCAAGTGGTCGCAGCCACCTCAGCTTGGTCTTTCCGACAAGGACATCGTCACCATCCCCACCAACACAGCTGCCGTTGCGTTCGTGAAGCTTCCAGGCAAAGCTGACGATACCAGAATCGAGATGGTGTCCGGCGATAACACCCTCGACATCGATGGCGACCGGGTGTTCTATTGACAGGCAAGCATGCTCAAGCTGTCCTGTCAGTCGCTGCTGTTTTCAATGATGGTTTCTCCACTGCCAATTTCTTCAAAGTCTCCTTGAAGATCAAGCCCAATGCGCAACTGGCGAAGGCTAAGATGGACATAATCTCCAAGGTCTCTGATCCCACCAAGCCAGACAATGAATACAGCAAGCTCTGGTCTGTTGTGAACTATGAGGGCAATGAGGATTGGGACCAAAAAGTCGATCCCTTCTCCAAGATCCACAATGGCGCTGGCAAGCATGTCTACAAAGACTTCGAGGCGGGTCCACCTGGGAAGAGATGGCACAAGTCGCAGGTCGAAGCCGTGCGCCATGCCAAGGAAACTCATGGTGGGTTCCAGCTCGTCCAGGGTATCGGCGGCTCAGGTAAGACCACTTTGCTCACGCACAAGGCACTCTGTTTGGTGAAGCACGAGCAGAATGTCATCCTCATGTCGGAGCGCAACGCTGTTTGTAATGGACATCTGGAGAATGTTGTCAACAGCATCTCGCGATATCCCGAACTCAAGGAGTCAGGTTTCAAGCCTCTTCGCGCCTTCGCCCAGCAAGGCTCTCTGACGGAGATAATCAACAGAGGCAAGTTCTCAGAGGAATCTCTCTCTGGTGTCTCTCCTGAAGGCATGGCGCAACTCTTGCACATCTTTGCCCAGAAGCGAGCCAAGTCCCGCGCCCGCTTTGCGATGTACGAGTATACAATTGAAGGTCACATGCTGGCCAATATGGACGACGAAGCAAAGAACAGCGCAGAGTACGAGCCAGCTTCAGTTCAGCTCATTGAGGATGGTCCAACGCTGAACTCGTACTCCCAGCTGCGGAGATTCCTTTATGAGATTGCACAGCATCCGCTTGATTCAGAGGTGGAGATTTCTGGTGAGAATTCTGAGCCAGACATTCCTGATCAGAATGCCACTGCTGAGTCGGCTACTGCTGAGAACGCTGATAATGCCACCTCCGAGACATCGACCACGCCGACCACCATTCCCGCTGATCAGAATGTCAATGCTGAGTCGGTTGCCGCTGCGAACGCCAGCTCTGAGACAGCGACCACCATTCCTGTCGATCCGAATGCCAATGCCGAGTCGGTTGCCGCCGCGAACACCACCTCTGACACATCGACCACGACTGTACCTGGCAACGCTGAGAATGGTCTTATGGAGCTGGCGCCACCACTGAAGAAGACCCGATATTGGACACAAAAGCGTCTGAACGAACTCAAGAAGGTCATCGGTGTCTGCCGTGCAGATGTCATCCGATCGGCGCCAATGATCATTTCTACGGTGGACAACCTCATCACCTCATCCGAGATCTCTTCAAACTTCGGTGGAGACCCAAGCAAAGTCACCTTCGTTGAGCATGACGAGGCAACTCAGTCAGATGAAGCTGGAACTCTTGGTGTTCATGTCAAACTCCGTGCCGACGTCGTGTCTCATTGCATGTATGGCGATGTGAGGCAGTTGGGTCTGCTCAAGTTTGCCTCCACAATCAAGGACAAGAAGTCTTCCAACCTACAATCACTCGTCAATGAGTTCCATGAGACGATCGACCAATCACTCTTCGCGCGCTGGCGCACGGCACGCTTCCCCTACTCTGAGCTCACCACCCAGAGCCGCACTCACGAGGTCCTGTTCAGGCCAATTCAGTACTATTTCTATCCCACTGTCGAACTCAAGGGACCCGAGTACATTCTGACTCCTGACGAGGAGAAGATGATGTTTGGCATCAATGGCTTCGATTATCCCTCACCCATTCAATCGCGCTTCAACTGGGCCATCATCAAGGGTCAGATTCGGAGAGACAATCACGGTACTTCTCGCCTGAACTTTACCAACGTGATGTACATCATCCACATTCTGGAGAAATACGTCATTCCTTGTTATGGTGACAAGACATCTCAGAACGTTGCGGTCCAGGCATGCTACAACCTCCAGATCAAGGAGCTGACCCGCCTGCTACGCAAGCTGCAGAGAAAGCATGGCTGGTCAGACGAATACTTGCCTGAGACGAGCACTACCGACAACTTCATGGGTCGGGAGAAGCATATGGTCATCGGCGATGTCATGATTCCGCAGTATCGTCGCGCAGATTGGGGATTCGTGAGCGGAGATAAGCGCGCCTGTGTCTTCTTGACTCGAGCCAAGTCGATCCACCTGCTGGTTGGTGGCGATTATCACCCGGATGAGAGCAAGCAGGTCTCCAAGCCTCGGAAAGCTGCTCGACTTGATCCCGACCAACACGAGATGTCCGACAACGCATTCATCTACCTGCACGATTACCTTTCCCGTGCTAACAGCTGCATCGACACTGGCTTCACCATCGATGAGCTCGACCATCCAACGTTCGTTTGGACGCCTGAGCAGATCGAGGCTGCGCAGCGTCTGATTAAGGAGGCCCCGCACGACTTCCCAGCCTTCTCGAGGTATTACGGCGAGCACCTTGACGATCAAAAGAAGCAGAGAATTCGTGACATGATCGACACCATTGAGCAGGACGCGAAGGATGAGCGAAGCGAGAGAGCATGCAGAGAAGGAGAAGAAACTCGCCGCCGCGCCGTCGACCGATGAGCAGAATAACTGGGTTTCCGACTCATTTGGGACTGTTGACAACTCCTGGGAGCCATCAACGGATGCGGAGGCTCGGGCCATTGCGGCCGCGGTTGATTCCAATTGGTGAGAAGGCTTGACACGGCAGAGTTACAGGGTGGTCACGAAGCGAGCATGATGTAGTTGTATTGTTGCGATCGAAGATCGACACCAAGGAGTAGTCAGATCAATATACGTTCGCGACAAATCCCTTGCTCTCTTGTGCTTTCCAGTGATGTTGACTTTGCTTGTTCACGTTCTGGCATTCTGCTCCACCGTACAGATTGCAGAGTGACACACAATTGATGTTGGGGTCAGGGCGGCTCTCTGCGCTGATTTCAGCGAGGACTGGGGCGATGAGGCCGTAACCTGTACGACGCAATCAGCAAGTATGCTTGAATGGGCTGCTTTTGCCAGATGCACTGACCTTCAATGCCTCACGTGAAAGCCATGCCAATGGCGGAAACTGTTCCAATGAAATTCACCGAAAGCCAATAATAGCTCTTGTCACTCTTGTCTGTGTTTCATCCCTTGGCCCCATCTACTCGATCATCGTCGGCGCGATGGTCGACGTGCGAAGGGTCGGGAATGTCCCGCCCATGTCTGCCAGCTTCTTCCATGTGGCCAATGTTAGGATGCGAGCTGGAGTTTATTAGAGGTTTCTCATGATCCATTTTTCACCATGGCAGACAGTCTCAAGAACAGATCAGAAGAACTCCAGACCAAGGGGTGGTCTCCAGCATGTGGGTTTCACGTTGTATGTGTGCACGGCAACTCCATCTGTGTTACCTCAGAGTCAATGCGTTCCGACGAGAGGCATCGCTCCTAAGTACTCGCTTGCGGCGAATATGTTAGTAGCGGTTAATCTCTAGAGAAGAGGCAGCGCTATACGATAGCAAAGATTACTGTATAGAGTCGCTTATAGTTTAGGTATATATAGGTTCGTTATTCTTAGCATTAGTTTCGTACCTAAGACACAGCTTAGTGCTTCTCGAAACATTCCTAAAAGGGAAACCCCTTAGCTTTTTAAGCCGCGCCCCTCGGCTTTGCCTCTTATACTAATTTAGTAGTAAACCGAGCAATTGCTATCGCTATATCTAGTCTATAGTTCTAATAATTAGTATTATTATTCGTTATTACTATTACTATTAATCTACCGAGTTTCTACTATCTACTATCGCCGCCGCTACTATAGTACCTTACTATCGCGACCGCTATATACCTAAATTTAAGAATAGCGCCTCTAACTATAAGAAGGGTATATTAGCAGGTAGATAGGATAGTAGTAGGTATAGGTAGTATTCGATAAGGAGCTAGGAGGAGAGGGAGGAAGGTAGGTAAGTTAGCCTATTACTAAGCGCTAAGCCCTACCTAAGGTACTAAGACCCTAGCTTTACTTAGCCTAGTTATATACCAATTACGTATAGCCTCTTTAGCCCTAATATACGCTTCCCTTCTAAAGGCCGCGCCCTCGTAGCCTATCTATATTCTACGACCTCTATTACCGCTAACTTAGCAAGTCTAATAAGCTGCTTAGCCCGCGCTAAATTAAACACTTAACTACCTAATTATATAACTATATTAAACCTTACCTCTAATACAATGTCTAACTCTAACTGCGCTATCCTTATATATAATAAAGTAAAGGGATATAAAGCTATAAGAATTAAGGGCTATCGACTAATTATAATACGGGCGCGTCTTCCCTACTATAATAGGTAGACGTACGAGGTATTATAGCCCTACCTCCGCTCTAAGTAATATCGTTCCGAGTTCTTTGCGTCTACTCTAAAAGACCTAGAAATGTCCGCTTCTAAGGGTTTGTCCGTTCCGAGGGTTGCTCTTATTATTACGAGGGCTATTATTTACTATCGTAGTTTTACTAGCCCTAATTAGTTAGGTTTAGCAGCCTTTAAGTATTAACTAATTATATCTTTTTAAAAGACTTAGTTCTTCTAGTTTCTATAGGTAAAGGCTATTATAAGTGTAGTAGTAGAGGTTCGCCTCGCTTAAAGGATCGGAAAGATCGAGGAGTAACCTATTATCCGCAAGATCGACCCCGGCTAGCTTAGCTCTATAGTTTTGCCCTTAGTCGGTTAGTCTATTAAGCTACTTAATCTTTTAAGCGGCTTAAAGTTTTAATTAAAGTTTTGATTAACCCCTTAGTGCCTTAGGCTCGTAGTGTAGGTAAGGTTGTGTTCTATAGGCGTAGTAATAATAGCAAGTAATGTTAATAATAGCGGCGCTAGCCGTCTTAGCGCTAACTTTACCTTGTATTAGACCGCTATACTAGTGCGCCCGTTTACTAGCGTCTTACGCCGCGACAAAAGATCGGAAGTATCTACGCTTACTAAGCGTAGATCTCGGGCGCACTTATAGGCTAGGGTCGCTACGTGCTTAGCGCTAAGCCTCCTCGGCTTCCGCCTTATACGCGCTTCCCTTTTCTTAGCTACGGCCCTACAGCTAGTTAGCCTTAGTATACCCCGTATCCGTACGTATAGCCGAGCAGCTAATAAAATCTTCTAATACCCCGCACTCGAACGTGCAGCCGAGCTAATAAAATCTAATACCCCGTACCCGAACGTGCAGCTAAGTATCTAATTAGAATTGCGTCGTAATCTAACAAACAAATAAGCCTATAAGCTAACCCCTCTAAGGCAGGTGCGCCTACAGCCGAGTCGCGCGCCTAAGGCAATTAGGCACCTCCGAAGCCGCGTCTGCTAAGGATTAGCCTAGTTAGCTAAGAACGTACGCTAAGAATCGAACGCGCGACCTTAATCTACAGACTGTAAAGCGCGGATACTGTATTAGACCGCTACACTAGTGCGCCCGTTTACTAGCGTCTTACGCCGCGATAAAAGATCGGAAGTATCCGCGCTTACTAAGCGTAGATCTCGGGCGCACTTATAGGCTAGGGTCGCTACGTGCTTAGTACTAAGCCTCCTCGGCTTCCGCCTTACACGTTGCTTCTAATTTTCTTCTTTAACTAATAACAACTTAGCAATACCGTTACTAATAGGTCGTATCCTTCCTTCTTTAAATAGCAATACACTCCGTAATACCGTTACTAATATAGCCGCGCCGGCCGCGCCGATTGCCTAGGCCTCGAGGTCTCGATAGAATAAAGGAATAAGAGAGGGACCTAAATACTAAGAGAAGGGACTTGTTGCGTTAGTAAAGAGGCAGAGCCCTTAAAAGAGTATACGATTAGTTAGCGCGTCGTAGCGCGCTTATTAACATTCGGTACGTATTTACTATTACGGTATAGTCTTATTATCCCTTGCTACTAACAATTGCTTGCCTCTAATTAGTTAGCTAATAGTACCCCGGGGGTAGTATTGTTCCTAGGCCTTAATAGTAACATTATAAGCTTTTAGCCTTCTTCTTGTTCTTTACGCTAGTCTAATACTTATCTAACAACTCGGTTATGTCCTTAAAGGAGTCTTTAGCTTCCTATAAGTCCTATTTAGGTAAATAGCCTTGCTATCTTAATAGGTACTCCTTCTTGCCTTGCCTAGTCCGATGCTTTAGGATACGTTCTATAGACTATAGCTCTTTACTATCGGCTAAGACTTCTTCTAACTTAGTAGGCGCTTTATCGCCTTCGCGCTAATAGTATAGTTTAAGGAGGGATATATAGAAGGTATCGTAGATAGTGTAATAAGGTAGAAGCTATAACTAGTAGGCCTATACGGAGGAGCCTTTAACTTCTCGAATACGGAATAGGCTAATGTATCTTAGTACGAGCTTAGGCCTTGTTTTGCTATTAGGTAATAGGTGTTTGCGGATACGAAGGTTCTTCGTACTAAGTATAACTATATCGCCTTGTTTAAAGGTTATCGGTATATAGCGCTTATCGTAATAGGCCTTTTAATACTCTTAAGCCTTTGTTAGCTTCTTAGCTATCTTAGCGTAGATTTCTCGCATCTTCTAGACACGTTCTATCGCCGCTAGTGTCTCTAGTACTTAACGCGCTTCCCTTTCCTTGCGCTCGGCCTCGAGCGAGGTAAATAGATCTTGTAGTAGGGTAGCGTTTTAGCCTATTATAGCTATATATAGTGAAACCTTAGTAGATAAGTGCACGCTATTATTGTATACGAATTCTATAGGCTATAGGAGGTTAACCTAATCCTCGGGGTTCTTATTAATGTAGCTACGCAGGTACTACTATAGGGTAGCATTCTACCTCTCTATTTAACCGTTAGTCTATAGATAGAAGGCTATTAATAGCCGATACTTTAGTCTTAGCTATAAGCAAATCTCGCTCTAATAGTAAGATATTAGTGTCGATCTACGATTAGACACTATCCCCTTAGGGGTTCCCTAATAGGTATAGAAGATGTTAGTCTATAGCGCTTCTACTATATTAATAGTAGTCTAATCTTTGCGCGCCGGGATGTATCGAGCGCCTTTAGTAAATCGATCTACTATAATAAGGATAGCATTATATACATCCTTGCTACCCCTACGATTAGTAGGAGGAAGGCCTATAATAAAGTCTATTATTAGCTTAGCAAATAGCTTCTTTAGAACAGGGAGCGAAGACAACTCGCCGAACGGCAAGTGCTTCGGTGCTTTAACTCGCTAGTATACTATATAGGTCTATATATACTCCTTTATATGCCGCTTACTATTTAGCTAGTAGTATATACGCGATAGTAACTCGTGCGACCTCTCTATACTATAGTAACTAGCGAGCTTACTATTATAGTGTCGCTTTAAAAGCTCTTATCTAATCGATTGTTTAGCGGGGACATAGTATCTGCCCTTAAACCTTAAGTAACCTTTGTCGTCGATCGACTAATTACTCTTACTAGATCGAGTCGTTTGCCTACTTACAAGCCTATTAATACGGTTAATAGCAAAGGCGTCCCTCTACTAAGCCCGTAATAGCTTATCTATAAACGATTAACTATCCCTATTTGCAAGGTTATTTAATAGTACCCTCGCTATTAAACGAGGTACGTATTGTATATATCTAATAGCACTAGCAGCCGGAACTACTACAACCTCTTCTATAGTGCTGTCGCTATATAGGCTATTACTATAGATAGCAATGTCTTT